TTTAATGAACAATCCAGGTTAAAATCTAAAGGGATGAAAATGCGTTAGCTAAAGTTTCTTGTTTCTGCTTGCTTCTAGGATTTTTCTTTATCTGGTCAAGAGACATGTCCTTTGGCACCAGACTTCTCCTGCACGTAAGTAATAATAATGTGGCAAAGCTGTAAAATATTTCTAGAGAAAATTTTACTAAAATATATCTAATGCTCAACATCTACATTAAAAAGTAGAGCAGAGACAGTAGTACCATATTGTTCATTTTTTTCAAAATCAGAGATAATTTCATCCTGTCATTATCTAATACACAATAATAAGCAAACTAGGCTCCCCAGGTGGCTCAGTGGTAAGGAATCCGCCTTCAGTTCAGGAGATGGGGGTTCTATCCCTGATTCGGGAAGACACCCTGGAGAAGGAAATGGCAACCCACTCCAGTGTCCTTGCCTGGTAATTCCCATGGACAGAGGAGCCTGGTAGGCTTCAACATTGAGTTGAAAGAGCCAGACACACCTTAGCAATTGAACAAGCAAATGAACAAATAAACACCTTATGATTCTTAAGTACTCAAGAAGTGCAATCACTTGTATACTTAGTTGGATATGTATCTTTAAAATATAAGGTTGACTACTCCAACTTTGTCTTTAATTAAAGTGTTACTTTCCTATTATGTTTGACATGCAGTGAGCTTTCAGTAAAGAACTGATTGCTGAGATAAAGCAGTGAAGGTTCCAACTAGTCAAATACATCATAGATGACATCCAAATTTAGAGTCAGACTTTCTCAAAACTCCTATCCCACACTTAACCTTTTAAAATCAAATAGTGAAGAAATGTGTATGGGCTATTTTCTCAGAATAAAATGTACTGGAATGAATTATGTCTGACTTACAGATAATATTTTGTCTCAAAAAGAGTGAAAACATTGATCTGTCATTGTCTCAGTCATTTCTGGAGCATTTTTACAAGAAGAATAAAGGAGAATGGATAGGGAAAATTGCACTTTCTTGAAAGAATTCCTTCTCTTGGGAATTAGTAGTAGCCCTGTAATCAAAGTGACTCTATTTACCACTTTTCTGGTTGTTTATATCATTATTCTCGTTGCAAATCTTGGAATGATCATTTTAGTTAGAACAGACCCCCAGCTGCACACACCCATGTGCTTTTTCCTCAGCCGCCTCTCCTTCAGTGACCTCTGCTATTCCACAGCCATTGGACCCAGGATGCTGGTGGCTCCCTCATCAAGAACAAATCAATCCCCTTCTATGGCTGTGCTCTGCAATTCCTGATCTTCTGTACCTTCGCAGATTCTGAGTGTCTGCTGTTGGCAGTCACGGCCTATGATCAGTGCTTGGCTATTAGCAGCCCCTTGCTTTATACAGTCAAGATGTCCGGCAAGGTGTGCTCCCTGCTGATGGCTGGGGTTTATATGGTGGGAACTATGGATGCTTCGATAAGTACAATATTAACTTTCTGCTTATGTTTTTGTGGGTCAAATGAAATTAACCATTTCTTCTGTGATGTTCCTCCTCTCCTCTTGCTATCTTGCTCAGATACACAGGTCAATGAGCTGGTGACATTTATCATTTCTGGCTTCAATGAACTGATCACCCTCTCAGGTCTCTTTTGTGTCTTAGTGTTACATCATCCTAGCAGTGATAAAGATCCACTGTGCTGAGGGGAGATTCAAGGCTTTCTCCACCTGCATCTCCCATCTAACTGCTGTGGCAATTTTCCAGGGAGCTCTGCTCTTCATGTATTTCAGGCCAAGTGCTTCCTACTCTCTATACAAAGACAAAATGACCTCTTTGTTTTATACCCTTGTGATTCCCATGTTAAATCTTCTGATTTACAGCCTACCGAACAAAGATGTGAAAGAGGCTCTGCTGAAATGTAAAAATAAAAAATGGATCCATTGAAATTTTGCTCGTATATATTTTCCTCCCAATGTTACACAATAATTTATGAAAATCAAAATTGGTTTGACTAATGTTGTATGATTCTGTTTGTATTTATACAATCTTCTAATCCTAGCAATATATGTGATTTCTTAAATGCCACAAGTTTCATTTTATATATTAAACTTCAGTTTAATACTCCTTATTTGTGGAAAATTTTCAGACTCTTCATTTGTCAAATTTGTGTTTCTTCAATCTTTATATGTGTTAATTTTTTTTTTTTAATTTTCTGTAAGTTGGTGTTTTCTAAGTTGCTGTTGCACTCTATGTGGGCTTTATTTCATCGTGACTCCATCTGCTTTTATACTGATGAATTGCCATATAATGGAAGTGACCAATGTCAATTAAATAATTATTCAAATTATTTCTAACAGACTGTAATTATGACATAATATAAAAATCTTTGCTGTTGTTCAGTCACTGTGTCCAACTCTTTGCGACCCCATCAATTTAAGCACGTCAGGCTTCCCTGACACACAGAGTCCTAACATCATTTTTATTTAAAAACTAAAAGTCAAATAGTATAGAAAACATCTAGTTATCCCTATGGAATGTAAATATGTTAAGGTTTTTGCTGTTTTTACAAAATCTTTGTTTTATGAATGTATTTAATGGAGAGTGTGTTTGTGTGTCTGTGTAAGTGTGTGAGGGTGAATGGGCATGTATTTGTTTTCTAATGTATTGAATGAAAACAAAATGGCCACATAAGGATTGGTGAACTGGGAATTAGGAATGCTTGCAGATCTGAGGCATTCACTGTTTCTGAATAAGTATAATAGTGGGCATTAAGGTAGAGGGGAACCAAAGGCAAAGTATTCTAAAGGTCTATATTCCATGTGCAATCAGCTCACTTGTATGAAATATCAGATAATAAATTACATCATATCTGTTACTTATTCCTGAGAGACCAAGGGCTCATCACCCAGTGACTAGACTCAGAAATGATTATATAATCTGGGTCAGGCAGGAGGCAACGCTGAACCCTCCTGCAGACAGAACCGCATGCAACGAGCAAGTCAGGAGTTCTGGGACAGGTACTGATAACTTTGTTGTTTCTCTGATTTGTATTTGAGATTTCCTTATTTGTTAATGTTTTTTTGAAAGAAGGTATTTTATATAAACAAAGGAACATATGAAATAGTACACACATTTTTATTTTAGTTAGTTGTACAATTTGTTTATTTTAAATGCATATAAATAGGGAATATAAAAGGAGCAAACATGTATTACGGAAATGGTCAGATGTTTCTTACTCTTTTAAAAATTTATCTGTTATATTATGCATTATGTATAACATATTATATTTCTAAAAATGCTTCAAGTTTTAAAGGAAAATATTTTTGCTTAATTATGTCTTTCCAAGCAGACATACGAGTTAAGTCCTAGGGTTGAAAACCTGCACAGTGACCACTAGACCACTGTTCCAATGCTCTTCTCTATCCCTCATCTACATTCAACTCCTGTTTTTTAAATTCTCCTAGAATATAAGAGGACAAGTGGAGGAGCAGGGAATGACAGAGGATAAGATGGTTGGATGACATCTCTGACTTGATGGACATGAATTTGAGCAAGCTCTGGGAGTTGGTGATGGACAGGGAGACCTGGCATGCTGCAGTCCATGAGGTCACAAAGAGTCAGACCCAACTGAGTGACTGAATTGACTAACTGATGACATTATGTATCACATAATTGGTTTGGGTAAAATGTAACAGTGGGACATATAATTCCATTGTCCTTCCAAAGACAAGTAATTCTTAAGCCAAATAAAGGCAGAACTCAGAGATACTGAAGAGAAATCTGGCTCAAGCAAAATAATCAAATAATATCAAAATTTTTAGGGAATTGGAGTGGGGCCACAGCTCAGATGTGAACATCTCTGAGATTACAGAAGTGTGACCATGAGAGTATTTGTGTTATGTGTCTTATGAAACCGTTATGGCAGAATACAAAGTGTGGAAGGAGTAGGTTAGGGCAGAAAGGACTCATGCAGCAAACCAAGCCTTCTTTCTTGCCTCTGTTAACCTTGCTACCAGCATCTCTGCAACTGGATCTCAAATGTTCCTCATCATCTCCTTGGTATAACTGCAACTTCCAAATAGGAGAATGGTCAGCGCTGGCATGTTACTGTATGTGCATTTCAGCATTTAGTTCATAGAGACCCTTCCACCCTCTTATCCAAAAATCACCACCCTCTCTGTCCCAGCAGGTCCTGAATCATGAACCATCTATCCCTCCTATGCTGAGGTTTGAGGGAATTGAGAGGTTGATGGGAAAGTGAGGATTGTTTATATTCAGAAACTGGCTATAGTTCTTCCCTCTCCAGAGGGGGAATAGGAAAGTAATATCACCCGTGCTTCTTACTTAACCACTCTTCTCTAACCCATGGTATAACAACATTTCTACATCACTGAGAAACAAAGCAAGCCAAAAATCCCAGCAATCTTGTCAAAAACAAGTTATGTGAACCACCCAATTGTCAGCCCCTTGGCTTAACTCAAAGCACATTATTTTGTTAGCATTAGACAGAAGTAGCAAAGTGTTAGTCACTCAGTCGTGCCTGACTGTGACTCCATGGACTGTAGAGCCCACCAGGATCCTCTGTTCATGAAATTCTCCAGGCAAGAATACTGGAGTGAATAGCCATTCCCTTCTCCAGGGTATCCTCCCGACCCAGGGATCAAGCCCAGGTCTCCTGCATTGCAGGCAAATTCTTTACCATCTCAATCATCAGGAAAGCCACAAACATGGTCATAAAGACTACCCAAGTTGGATTGGAAACAGTCTGATTTAGTTTGGATGAAAGGGTGCTGCAAAACTATACAGTGCTTTGCAAATGTATTGTTATCAACTTTTTTTTTCATTTACATAAAATTGGAGAATATTTCTCAGAGTCTGTTGGCCTCATGCAGTCCTAGGAAGGTCTGTCTCTTTTCTGATTACTGAAATCTACAAAAGGACTAGGGGTTTAACTATAAAGATAGTAAATTGATATATTTACCCTCCATTTCCATTTCCTCTTTCACAACCAGGAATCTCCCAACAGATCTGAGTGATGACTGCTGAGAACTACAGTGTGGCTACTGACTTCACATTCCGAGGACTTTCAGACAGAAGGCACGTTCAGCAGAGGCTTTTCCTGCTCTTCCTGCTGGTCTATGGCATAACTGTGGTTGCCAGGGTAGGGATGAGCCTGCTGCTCAAGGTGGACCCGAGACTGCATACACCCATGTATCATTTCCTGAGCAATCTTTCCTTCTGTGGTGTTTGCCAGTCCTCTGCTGTCTCTCCCAAGATTCTGGCTGATTTCCTATCTGAGCATAAAAGGATTCCATTTGACTTGTGTGCTATACAGATGTATTTCTGGGGGACTTTTGCAGGTGTGGAATGTCTCATGTTGGCTGTCATGGCTTATGACCATTATGTAGCCATTTGCAATCCACTTCTTTATACAGTTTCCATGTCCAGAAGACTCTGTACCCAGCTAGTATCTGTTGTCCACATGAAAGTTTTGGTAGATTCAGCAATCCACACCTGTTGTACATTTTGATTATCATTTTGCAGTTCTAATGTCATCAATCACTTTTTCTGTGACATCCCACCCTTACTAGGCCTCTCCTCCTCAGATACATCCATCAGTGAGATAACGCTGCTCATATCCAGTAGCTGTGTTGTGGGGACCAGCATTATCCCTGTCCTCCTTTCCTACATCTACATCACAGCAACCGTCCTTGGGATAAACTCAGCCAAGGGGAGACGCAAAGCCTTCTCTACCTGTGTCTCCCACTTAACCGCTGTGGCTATATTTCATGGCATGCTCCTGTTCATGTATTTCAGACCCAGCTCCAGTTACTCCATGGACACAGACAAAAGAGCCTCTGTCTTCTACACAGTTGTCATCCCCATGTTAAACCCACTCATCTACAGATTAAGGAATAAGGATGTGAAAGTTGCCATAAAAAATAAGTAATCAGTACTAAATTGTGTTCTGCATGATACAGTGTTTTCAACCAAAACTACATATGTAAAGATTCTGAGAGCTGAAGTTCAGGTGCTGATAGATTCTTGTAGTCTCATCATTACAGTCTTTTGGATATGACCCATTGCTTACCTTTGTGCCTAAGTTGAGTGTTGAAAATAGGCATTGGTGATCTTAATTTGTCTCCAGACTAAGAAAAGGGGAGCAATATGCTGTTTTGCAGAGAGGGTCTTTTTTACACCTCTTTCCTTGGGTAAGTCTCCTGTGAGATAACATTCACCAAGCTGTCCCTCCACCTATGAATTCAACTTACCATCCTATGATTCCAGTACATTTTTTAAACAATAGGTTTAGTAAATTTGCTCAGCAATAGGGAATATTAGTGAGTCAAATAGTTGTGTTTTTTTTTGTACACTTTTTATGCACTTGTATGATCCTATGACTGTGTCATCATACCATGTAAAATTGTAGAGGCAGTGAATAAATACTTTAATATACAAATAAATTCATAAATAAATAAGAATAAACATAAAACCATGTGTTGTAATTCAAACCTTGATATATGCAAGTTCCTCTCTTTTCTTGTTCATCTGTTATCTACTTTGATATTTATATTGCTGGGCTTCAGAATGCCATTTGAAAACACTTATTGAATAAATGAATGAGGACCCCTTGCATTATTAAGCAAAGGAGTCCTTATAAACTTACCAAATACACTAGCAAGAACCCCTCCCTTTATTTCACTTTATTCTAATATATTTACTGTGCCTTCCAAGTGGTAAAGAACCTACCTGCCAATGCAGGAGAAATAAGAGTTGTGGGCTTGATCCCTTAGTGGGGAAGATCCCCTGGAGGAGGGCATGGCAACGTACTCCAGTATTCTTGCCTGGAGAATCTCATGGACAGTCAAGCCTGGTGGCCTTTAGTCCATGGGGTCGTTAAGAGTCAGACACAACTGAAGAGACTTAGCACACACGTGTATTCACTGTAAAAGAAATGTGTTCTCTGTTTTGTGCCTCCAGCCTCAGCTGAATGAATGACAGAGACAGGATCACAGGGATTGACAGAACTTCATGTATAGTCTATTCCTTATAATTCTGCTCCAATAATATCACTAAGTAGTCTTAGCATCATATGTACTAGGTTGCTATTACACTTCAGAGACTTGTTATCATCCTGTGGATGTTTTATCTTGCCATATGGCAGAGAACATATATGGTGCTCTTCACAGATGTACAGAAACTCATGATTGGAAGTTGCAGGATGAAGAACCTGGGTCTTCTTTAAAGGTCACTGGAAAAGACAACTCCACCTCTTGAGGTGTTCCTAGCATTAGCCTTTTGCTGTCGCTGTTTTTAGTCACAAAGTCATGTCTGACTCTATTAGAGACTGCCAGGCTCCTCTGTCTGTGGGATTTCTCAGGCAAGAATACTGGAATGGGTTGCCATTTCCTTCTCTAGGGGACCTTCCTGACGGAGGGATTAAACCCCTGTCCTTTGTATTATTAGGCTGATTCTTTACCAGGGAGCCATTATCTCAGTTCATATTAAAAAATTTTTTTTTGCTATCTTTTAAATGAAAGAGAAAGTTATCATCTTAAGTATTGGTATACAGGAACATAAGAAACAAACACAAGGTAATGTTTAGAATTTTATTATATTTGCAATGATTAATATTGGCTCTCTGTGTATCTGAGACATGTACTGGAACACTGAGTGACATGTTGTTCAGTGGCGAAGTCATGCCTGACTCTTTGGGACCCCAAGAACTACAGCACACAAGACTCCTCTGTCCTCGACTATCTCTCAGAGTTTCCTCAAATCCATGTCCATTTAGTGAAAGATACTGTCTAACCATCTCAACCTCTCCCCCTGCTTACAGTCTTCCCCAGCACCAGTGATTTTATGAGTCAGTTCTTTGCATCAAGTTGACAAAGTTTGGAGCCTCAGCTTCAGCATCAGTCCTTCCAATGAATATTTAGAGTTGATTTTCTTTAGTATTTGACTCTTTTGATCTCCTTTCTATCCAAGGGACTCTCAAGAGCCTTCTCCAGCACCACAGTTCAAAAGCATCAATTTTTCATCACTCAGCCTTCTTTATGGTCCAACTCTCACATCCATACATGACAACTGGAAAATCCATATCTTTGACTACACAGGTCTTTGTCAATAAAGTGATGTCTCTGCTTTTTAATACTCTGTCCAGGTTTGTCATCACTTTCCTTCCAAAGAAAAAAAATCTCTTGATTTCATGGCTGCAGTCACTGTCCCCAGTGATTTTGGAGCCCTGGAAGATAAAATCTGTCATTGCTTCCACTTTGTCCCCTTCTATTTGTCATGAAAGTCAGTTTATATTCCAATCCCAAAGAAGGGCAATGCCAAAGGATGTTCAAATTGCCACACAACTGCACTCATTTCACATGCTAGCAAGGTGACGTTAAAAATTTTTCACCTAGGTTTCAACAGTACATGAACAGAGTGTCCAGATGTACAAGCTGGATTTAGAAAATGCAGAGGAACCAGAAATTAAATTCCCAACATCTGTTTCATCACAGGAAAAGCAAGAGAATTTCAGAAAAAAAAATCAACTTCTGCTTAAATGACTACACTAAAGCCTTTGACTGTGTGGATCACAACGAACTGTGGAAAATTCTTAAAGAGATGGAAGTAGCAGACCATGTTACCTGCTTCCTGAGAAATTTGTATGCAAGTCAAGCAGCAACATTTAGAGCCAGACATAGAACAACGGATTGGTTCAAAATTGGGAAAGGAGTATGTCAAGACTGTATATTGTCACCCCACTTACTTAACTTATATGCAGAGTACATCATGTGAAATGCTGGGCTGGATGAATCATAAACTGAAATCAAGATTGCTGGCAGAAATATCAACAACCTCAAAGATGCAGATGGTATCACCCTAATGGCAGAAAGTGAAGAGGAACTAAAGGGCCTCTTGATGAAGGTGAAAGAAGAGAGTGGGGGAAAAAAAAGAAAGAAAGAAGAGAGTGAAAAAAAATAGCTGAAAACTCAACATTCAAAAAACTATGATCATGGCATCTGGTCCCATCACTTCATGGCAAAGAGATGGGGAAAAATGGAAACTGACAGACTTTATTTTATTGGGTCCCAAAACCACTGTGGATGGTGACTGCTGCCATGAAATTAAAAGATGGTTGCCCCTTGGATGAAAAGGTATGACAAGCTTAGAGTATTAAAAATCAGCGACATCACTTTTCCGATGGTCTGTGTAGTCAAAATATGGCTTTTCCAGTCGTCCTGTACAGAGGTAAGAATTGTACCATAAAGAAGGCTGAGTCTAAAGAATCAATGTTTTCGAACTGTGATGATGGAGAAGACTCTTGAGAGTTCCTTGGACAGCAAGGAGATCAAACTAGTCAATCCTAAAAGACATCAACCCTGAATATTCATTGGAAAGGCTGATGCTGAAGCTGAAGCTCCAATATGTTGGTTGCCTGATCCAAGGAGCCAAAGGTTTGGAAAAGACCTTGAAATTGGGAATGACTGAAGGCAGAAGGAAAAGGATACAACAGAGAATGAGATGGCTGGATGGCATTGCTGACTCAATAGACATGAGTTTGAGAAAACTCTGGGAGATGATGAAGGACAGGGAAGCCTGGTGTGCTGCAGTCTATGGGGTTGTGAAGAATTAGACATGACTTAGTGAGTTAACAACAAAATTTGCCATGAAACGTTGGGACCAGATGCCATGATCTTAGCGTTTTGAATGTTGAGTTGTAAGCCAGCTTTTTCACTCTCCTCTTTCAACTTCATTAAGAAGTTCTTTAGTTCCTCTTCACTTTCTGCCATCAGAGTGGTATCATCTGCACATCTAAGGTTGTTGATTGTTGGCAATCAGCAAAAAATTTTGTTGGCAAAAAATTGTTGGCAATTTTGATTCCAGCTTGTGATTCATCCAGCCCAGCATTTCTTATGGTGTATTCTGCATATAAGTTAAATAAACAGGGTGACAATATACAACCTTGTCATACCCTTTTTCCAATTTTGAACCAGTCATTTGTTCTATGTCCAGTTCTAACTGTTGCTTCTTGACTCATATGCAGTTTTCTCAGGAGACAGGTAAAGTGATCTGGTACTCCCATCTGTTAAAGAAAGTAAACAAATAGTCTTGTTTAGGCTTCAGAGATGAAGCAGAGCAGGCCTGTGACCTTGCTTCTAACCTACCTAGACATTGCCCTGGCTGGGAGTGACTGGGAGTGACTGCTGTGAGTGCAAGACTTGCAGCACCATAGGTAAGGTAGGGGAGGAATCCTGAGATAGCTGACCCCCTGGAGGGGGCCTGGCTTGCCCCAGGCTTCGCCACATTCCAAGCTTTTCCTGGCAAAGCCAGCAGCACTATCTTGAAACCAGGCTTGCAATTTGGTTCCAGATTGATGAATATATCCATTTGAGTCTGTCCTGGGATTATAAATCGAAACCAGAAGGACAGTCTTTGAAGTCTCACCCACAGAGCAGAGCGGAGGTGCTGCCTGGGGCCTTTTCCCAGCTGGGACTCCAGATGTCCATGACATGGGACTTCCCAGACCTGTGTAAGTCTCGATGTTGGTCAAAACCCAATTTAGTGATGTATCCTCTGCTCTATTAATGTTAGTATCTTGAAAGTAAGCTAGATAATTCTCTAATAAATATCTGCATTAGTTATTTGTATATAACAAGTGGCTTACTTTGTTAACAAATCCTTTAAATCTGAGACAGAAGTGAAAACTTTTGGCAAAACACCATCACTTCTAAGATTTTTCCACAGATTTTTGTGATCCACACAGTCAAAGACTGTAGCACAGCCAGTGAAGCAGAAGCAGATGTTTTTTGGAAATTCCCTTGCTTTCTCCATGACCCACCTATTTTCTTTTATAACCTCAAATAATGGATTTTTTTCTCAGCATATTTTATATATCAGTACCTCTTAATTATTGTCCAAACCCCTTCCACATTCAATGCACTTCGTTAAAAA